ACAGAATCTAACATGGATATGGACGTCACCCATGTCTCACTGCAACACCACTGTAGTTCAATCTCACTGTCACCCAAACATCAGACTAGAATCCGAAATGTAATCATAACCATATACTGGCCATATAACTTAAGGAACACCTAACTCTAACCCTAGCACTGTACTGACGCTGTCCAGCCATGCCTAGTCAATCAGGTCCTGAAGTGCGGAAGGGGGATGAAGAAAATAAAGAAAGACAGAAAGAAGTGGGAGGGCTGACGCTCCTGTGCATCACCAGCAAAGCTTTATTGAGTACCAGGGTATTTATACAGCAAAGACATACACGATTTCAGAATATAGCCTTATCCAATAAACAGTCAAGCACAGTATTGATGTCAGCGGTAGCTGGGCAAAGGTAGGCTCAGCAGAGTTCCGTTAGTTGCTCATGGAATGTGTAACAAGGATGTTCTTTGTTCTCCATTCCCGCCACATCGGCAAGTGGGGGAAGGGCATAGTCTGCTCCCCACATCACCCCCTTTTTTATTTTATAAGAGGGTGACAGTGCCTGTCTAAGGTGTTCCTGGACGACTCATCTGGACTTACCCGTCATTGGTTCCCACATTCCATCATGAGGGCCCTGTCTTAGGTTGCCAGAGGTCTCCAAGACACTTACCCGTCGTTGACTATCCTGTCCCCTTCTCAGTATCCAGCATCGGGGGGTGACTTTTCAGCTGGGACATATATAGCTCTACACCAATGTGCAGAAATGCTTTAAAACTCATTTTTAGGAAACAAGGCAACAAGAACACAATGAGAAACATACACACAATGGCTGCACATAATGATAACAGAAAATGAGGCAAGACTTTAGAACTTATGATTTACAAGTGGGGGTCCATCTGCAATTTCAAATGACGTAGGTCTCTCTTAAGGCTTGCCGGATGAGTTTTCACATGCTGCGAAGGACACAAGGCCCTAGTAACAGCAACGAAGCCCTTAAAATGCTTAGGGTTAAGAGAGGTGCGACAGCATGCCAGAGACTATTCAGGGGGTTCCTGAACACGTCTTTTATCTGATTTAATATATCAGATGCAGTTTTGGCTGCAAATAAGATATGATTTAAATAGTTCTGTGGTGGCCGGGGATATAACTCCCCCTTTTTTGTTTTTTCCAAATGAGCTTTAAGGGTGCCATGGGCACGTTTTATAGTGCTTTGCCTTGTGGATTATATGGCATCTTAGTTTTGTGGGAAGTATGCATTACATGGCTGAGATCGAACATGTTGACAGACATAACTTGAATATATATATATATATATATAGGTTTTCACAAACTACTAGTCAAATTGCTTTCATACATTACCAGAATAAGAATACAGATACATAACAGAGGCAGACTTACAATTACTAGTTATATTTAATGAAATTTAAAAAACTAGTTAGATAGCTTAGGCATTTGTAAAAACATTGACAATATGAGGGATATCATCTAATTGATTTTGGGTAGTTTGAGAAAAATCAGACAAATTGAAACAGCACATTTTTGGAAATTGTTCACATCTTACATGATCTTTTAACAACAGACAGTCCACAGCAGCACGATTCTGAAGCACCGCAGCTTGCAATTCTAAGTTCTTGGTTGAGTTCAGATAATACAGAAGCAGTCAAATTTGTTGTTTTGCTATATGCACAGGCCAGCTTAGATATCTCTTTCTGCATTCCAATGACAAGTCTAGGTACTGGCAGGAGGAACACAGTTGCAACTGCAACAGTGGCAGGATCTCAAATTTTCAAGTTTTCATGACAATCAGATGGCAGAGCTAGAAGAAGTTTCTTGCACTTATATTCAGGTGGTCTATTAGAGCAGGAAGAATGCATCCCACCTCACAAACACCTTGATAGTGTGAAGAAAGGGCTTGATATGTTTTGTTATTACACAAAAATATCCAACATTTGGAAGTCTATATCTAGAAGACTATTACAATGATTGAAGAATTACAATAAGAGGGTACACGAGTACAATTAATACATACACAATCAGTAATTATAGTAGTATTAACAGGTAAATTTAATTGGGCATCAGGAGCAAGCACTTTAGGGGGAAAAGTGATGTTTATGCCTGAGATATTAGTAAACACCATAAGAGAAAGTCTTATGCCTATTAAATTCTTCTTCAACAGTTCACTGATAGAGGAATTTCTTGCTACACAAAAAGATGACTTGTGCAACTTTTGGCTCATGAGTTGTAACTACAAGTTAGGTGAGGAAAAATTATTTCCTGGAATGAGTGATATATTTAAATACACCTGATTACTCTTATACAATATGACAAGAGTTCTTTTCTGAAGCTTTTCACAAGTATAACTGCCAATATCTTCTCAGGACAAAACTGCTTTATAAATATCATAATGATCACCATCTCTAACAGACCAATCAGCAATATCATTCTATCTAAGTTTTCCTCTATCATGTGTCTATACATTTTTTCTGTAGTATGTACATACGTAAGTGCCATTATTGGAAATAAAAAAAGATACTATTATTTAGTGGGCTTCAGTTTTCTGTGTTTGACATGCAGAATTTTGTAGAGGTTTTTTGATGGTCACCTTCTGGAATGACTCCTCCAGAGGATGTTGATATTGGAAGTTCTCTTTCATATCGTATCTGAATTCATTTTCTGGGCGACCAGATCAAGCATTGATCCTCTGTAAAAACACAAGCAAACCCCTTGCCCCACACCTTGATATGATCTTTATGCCATAGTAAAGAACCCATTGGAGACTACTACACAGGAACTGTTGTTGTTTCAGAAAAGGAAATATTATCAGAAAAATGTACCTCTACCGCTGAGGTCTATTACCCTCCAGAAGATCATAATTAAGGATATGTAAAGCATGCACCAATCATCAACTTGCAACTAATTTTATCATATCGGGGAGTATTCCCCCCTCTTTGTATTAATAAATAATGTTTAAGAATAAGATGACAATATTCAATGAAAGCTTGACTTGTAGAACTGTGTGAAATGCCTGTGTTATGAGTGATGTTATATAGCTGAAAAAATGTATGTAACACAGAGGAGAGGTAAACTGGAGCGTTGTCAGCCAGCTTAAGAGATAAAACTTAAAACATTTTATCAGCAACACTTGAAACAAGAAGCTACAAAATCATTTTTCTTTAGTTTACCTAATTTAAAGTAACTAGTACTCAATTTGCTGAAATCTAGTTCTTTACTAGTTTGGTAGTAATTAAACAGATTATAAACAAGAAAAGATTTACAAATAACAATGGTTAAAGATTTGATGAGAACTTACTCTAAGATAGTTGATATATGGAAGTTTGGATATTTCTGTAACATCAAACACTCAGTAATAAAATCGAGCATTATTCCTTTTGACAGCACTTTTTAGGTAAGTATATATCAGGTAAATAAGCCAAATTAGTCAAATATTTTCTTTGATGAGAAGAAATTCTACTGATATCTTCCAGGGGACCTCTGGAAAATATTAGAGTTAATTGAGAGGTAAAAATACCTTTTTAAATTTTGGTTTTGGGAAGCTGTCAAAAGTTTTTAAGGCACTTGCCTAAATAGAATTATAGTTACTAAATAACACTTATTATTTAACTAGAATGATAATAAGAAAGTTTAAAAGCAAATGCAGAAGGTTACATAGTTGTTAACACTTAGCTTAGTCTTTTTAATATTAAGATCATATTTTCTTAAATACTCAGACAATTCATTAAGACTTTAAGCATAAGAAACTGTTTTAATAAAACAATTAGAGAACTCTTTGCAATCTTTCAATATTAAGAGCAGACTAACAGTTAAAGAATATTTTGTCTTTCCAACTGAAAACAAAACTCCAATTTTGCTGTGTACTTGATATTAAGACTCACTTGCTTTAATTTCACATAGCATGATTATATCTGTAAGAATATAGTAATTTATTCTTCATTTGCCTCATGGTCCCAAGCACATAAGCCGGCTAGAATTATGTGTGGGCTTGCCTGGGGCTTGACTGGGTTTATCCCAAAGCAACAGGCTGAGCGGATCTGCCACAAGAAAAGGCACCACGCTGCTGCACCACGCTGCGCTCTCTCTTTGTCTCTGTCTCTCTGTCTCCCTTTAAATAAATAGCTGTACTTCAGAACAATTAACCTTCTTTCACTCTCAACAAAACGAATTTCCATTGTTTATACTTTCTCTTATTAAAACACACATCTTTAACATACTAAAATATTTTCCTCATTATAACAAGTAGTTTTCATTAGAACCTAAAACCATTTGATACTTCAACCTTCAGTGAACACTGAAAAATAGGCCACTGTAAACTGTCACACCAGCATTCTTCAGTTTGATACATTTATGAACATATTTTATCATTTTTGGAAATGTGCCTTATAGCACAATTTCTTATTAAGCACAAAATATGTCTATATAACTTAGCAAACTTTAAGAACTTTGGTTACCACAAAAATTCTCAGGCTGTTTGCAGACATATACATTGTTAAAGATTAATACAGTATTATTATTAAAAAGTTTATTTGCTACACTTGTTTACTTATTTTTAGCAACCATGATAAATTACTTATAAAACTTTCACCACACATCAAAGTCAAGCCTTTCTTTAAGCATTTTCTTGAAATATTTAATAGGTAACATTAAATTAAATAACTTAAAGTAAACTTTGGCAGCTAATAACTCTAAGGACATGTCCATTTCAGTTAAGCTTAAATTAGCATTAATGCATAATATTTTTTATTACCTTTTCTGGAAGTTTTAGAATGCCCAATTTGCACAAGTGCTTGTTTTTAAATCAATTTTATTAATACCTTCTAGAGGTAGAAAATATTTTTTGTTACACACTTAGACACACAAACATACAGACCGAGACATAATGAGTACAGTTAGCAACACTTTTCATATAAAAACATATACACAGACAAACTGACATAAAATTTGAGTTTCTAATATTCAATGGTTTTCTTTCTTCTTAGTTTATTTGATTAAAAGTACTTCAGTTTTCAAGAATACACTCTAAGAGCAAGAAGTTTACATAACCGGGTTAAGGTTTAGATGGCCCTAGACTAACAGGGCAGATGAAGGCTCTGAACCAATAGGGACTGTGTGTCCAGGGTGCTGGAAATGAAATGCAAGTACAATTCTAGCTCTAGTCATTTAAAGCCAGGCTGTATTGCAGAAGATAAATTTCTTCTATCTCAGGGAGTTTAGTTTAAGACTTCTCAATTCTCGAAGATAATGATGAACTTAATAAGTAGAATAGACATTCACTAAAAAGAATTTAGAAAACTAGCTCCATATTGTAGTAGTTCATGGAACTTTTGACTATTTTCTTCCCTTGTGGCAAAATATATTTAGCTGCATAACACTATATTGCATACTTCTTTCAGGGGCCAAGCCTCTCTAATCAGAGAGTTTGTAATGGGGCCAGGTTTGTGTGCAGAAGATAAGATACTTCTTTTTAGAGTTTAGGGATCTAACTGCTCTCACTTAGTTTTCCTAGTTTTTTCTGCCTGAGCTTTAGTCATTCCTCAAGAGGCCCCTGCCTTACTGATAAATGCAGGGACTGTGTGACTTTTCACTACTAGAGCCCTGATCTGAGTCACAAGCTTCTTTGGCTTCCCTGGGGCTGCTGAGGAGGAAATTCTTAGCTCCAGGATGACTGCCTCTAATGAAAACAGTTAATAGAATAGACCTATTTACATGTTGATCTGAGGGTTCAGCTTAATTACAGGCTCTTTTTACATTACACAGGAGGAAGTAACTCAGGCCTAAGATGACTGCTTTGAATGGAGAGCAAGGTAAAAAAGCAATCTTTAAGGTCAATGATAGCCATCTTCCAGTCTTTTGGAATCATAGCTAGAAAAGGGAGGCCTTGTTGTAAAGGTCACATAGGTTTAAGAACCACATTAATTTGCCTTAAGTCATGTAACAGTCTCTAATTAAGGTCCACAGGCCAAATGTGTCCACCAGAACCTTTTTTGGGCCATGGGTAGAATAATAAGATTGAAGTCACTTTCCTACCCCATTCCACAATTCTATGTCTACTGTCCATTCTTCCAGAAACTAAAGGCACACTTTCTCAATAATATCTAAAAATCTTTCTAATTGGGCAATCCCTACTTTAATTCTTCTGGTGGCTAACAACCTCTTTAGCCCGCAAACATATAACTGTTTGCTCCCCGCCTGTCCCATATTGAACTCCCAGAAAAATTCACTTACCACATCCACATTGCTTGTGCGCCTCTTCTCTTGTGCATCTTCTCTGGTTACACTGGCCAGGGTTTTCTCTTCTCTATAGGCCTCGTGGTGGCCCTCACCTTCTCCCTCTCCTTCAGGTCCCTGTTCGGGCGCCACTTGACGCAGTCCAGATGCTCCTAGTAGAGCATGTCCTGAAGTGCGGAAGGGGGGCGAAGAAAATAAAGAAAGACAGAAAGAAGTGGGAGGGCTGACGCTCCTGTGCATCGCCAGCAAATCTTTATTGGGTACCAGGGTATTTATACAGCAAAGACATACATGATTTCAGAAAATAGCCTTATCCAATAAACAGTCAAACACAGTATTGACGTCAGCGGTAGCTGGGCAAAGGTAGGCTCAGCAGAGTTCCGTTAGATGCTCATGGAATGCGTAACAAGGATGTACTTTGTTCTCCATTCCCACCACATCAGCAAGTGGGGAAAGGGTATAGTCTGCTCCACAAACTGTAACCTGCATGGGACACTTCATGGTTCACATTAACATCATCCACAGCTCACCATAAACCTGTTGATTATACTCAACCTCATCCTCAGATCAGAGCAACATCCTTACTGTAAACATAGCACTCTCCTGCACATACAAATTTCCAGACATTAAACCAAACGCTACCCAGGCACTAGCCCCAGACCAATCACATCATTTTATTTTCAGCCCCACCAAATGCTTAACCTGAGCCACAATCTCACACTCACCCTGACATCACAGCTGGATGTAAACTCTAACTGAACCTTATCAACACCATAAGCCTTCAGAAACAACGAAACACTAACCACAGCCGTGACTCTTAGAACAGACCCAACTATTAAAATCGACATCGCTCATGTCTCCCTCTAACACTGTAATTCAATCTCACTGTCAATCTCACATCAGAACCGAATACTAAAGGTAACCACAACCCTTTCCTTACCATACACGTTTTTGAAACCCTAAAGCCAACCCGAGACCTGTGCCCTGGACATAAAACCTCATGTTAAACATCAACATCAGCCACAGCTTATCATATACCTGTCTCTCAATATCACCCTCTCCCTCACATCAGGGCCACATCCTCACTGTCCCGTAGTACTAGATGCCCTGTACCCACTACTGAACAATTTACAACAACCCTAGCACTGTCCGATGCTCTGACCTCCTCACTTTCATTTTAATGTCAGCCCACTAAATCCTAAACCTGAGGCATAATCTTTCACTCACCCTCACATCATAGCCAGAACCTAACTGTACCAAAAACTGTATTAGCCCCATAAATCTCCCCAAACCCCCAACCATATCCCTAGCCATGCAATTTAGAACAGAATCTATCAAGGATATGGACATTACCCATGTCTCACGGCAACACCACTGTAGTTCAATCCCACTGTCACCCAAACAACAGAACAGAACCCGAAATAAAACCATAACCATATACTGGCCGTACAACTTAACGAACACCTAAACCTAACCCTAGCACTGTACCCTGCATTTGACACTTCATGGTTAACATTGACATCATCCACAGCTCACTGTAAACCTGTCGATCATACTCAACCTCGTCCTTACATCAGAACAAGATCCTTACTGTAACCGTAGCGCTCTCCTGCCCATACAAATTTCCAAACATTTAACACAAATCCTACCTCGGCACTAGCTGCAGACCCATCACATCATTTTATTTTAAGCCCCACCAAATGTTTAACCTGAGCCACAATCTCGCATACATCCTGACATCACAGCTGGATGTAAACTCTAACTGAATACCTATCAGCGCCATAAACCTTCCCAAACACTGTACTCTAACCACAGCCGTGACTCTTAGAACAGACCCTACTATGGATATCAACATCACTCATGTCTCACTGTAACACTGTAATTCAATCTCACTATCACCCTCACATCAGAACAGAATACTAAATGTAACCATATCCCTTTCCTACCCATACACCTTTTCGAAAGCTTAAACCTTACCCTAGACCTGGCCCCTGGTCCTGAAACCTCATGATAAACTTCGACATCAGCCACAGCTTATCATAAACCTGTCTCTCAATATTGGCCTCTCCCTCACATCAGGGCCACATCCTCACTGTAACCATAGTACTAGTCGGCCCGTAGCCATTACCAGCAATTAACCTTATCCTAGCACTGTCCCATGCTCTCGAGTTCTCACCTTCATTTTAGTGTCAGCCCAACAAATCTTAACCTGAGGCATAATCTCACCCTCACCCTCACATCACAGCCAGACGCTACCTCTACCCAAAACCGTATCAGCACCGTAAACTTCCCAAACACCGAATCGTAGCCCTAGCCCTGACACTTAGAACAGACCCTACCATGGATATAGACGTCACCTACTTCTCACTGTAACACTTCAATCTCGCTGTTGCCCTCACATCAGTCCCGTATCCAAAATATAACCATAACTGTATGCTGGCCATACAACTTAATGAACTTCTAACCATAACCCAAGCTCTCGCCCGTGGACCTGAACATTGACATCAACCACAGCTCATTGTCAACCTGTCAGTTAGTGTCGCACTCATCCTCACATCAGAGCCAGATCCTTCGTGTAAACATTGCGCTATTGTGCCCATACATATTAATGAACACTTAACCCTAAAACTAGCTCTTGCCACAGCAGCAAACCTTTCACATCATTTTATTTTCATCCCCACCAAATCCTTATACTGAGACAAAATATCGCATTCACCCTCATATTAGAGCCGGACTCTAAGTCTAAACAAAACCATATTAGCCCCATAAACATTCCCAAACCCCAAATCCTATCCCTTGCCCTGACTTTTGGAACAGACCAGTACCATGAGTATCGACTTCTCGACATCCCTCATGTCTCACTGTAACACTGTATTTCAATCTCACTGTCAAACTCACATTAGAGCTGAATCCCATATGTAACCATAACCCTATCATTCTGTACACCTTACCAAACCCCGAACCATAACGCTAGAACTGTACCCTGCACCTGACACATTATGTTTAACATTGAAAACATCCAAAGTTCACCGTAACCCTGTCGATTATATTCACCCTCATCAACACATCAGAGCCAGATATATACTCTAAATGTGGCACTATCTTGCATGTACACATTAACGAACACTGAACCCTAACCCTGGCCCTGGCACTAGCACCAGAACCATCAAATCATTTTATGTTCAGTCTTACCAAATGCTTAACCTGAGTCACAATCTCACACTCACCCTCACATCACAGCAGGATGCAAATTCTAACCAAAACCCTATCAGTGCCACAAACCTTCCCAAACACCGAAATCTAAGCATAACCCTGACTCTTGGAACAGACCCTACCATGGATATCGACGTCACCCATGTCTCACTGTAACACTGTAATTCAATCTCACTGTCACCCTCACATCAGAACCAAATACTAAATGCAACCATAACCCTTTCCTTTCCGTACACCTTTTCAAACACCCAAACCTAACCCTAGACCTGTCCCCTGGACCTGAAACCTCGTGATAAACATCAACATGTGCCACAGCTTATCATATACCTGTCTCTCAATATCGCCCTCTCCCTCACATCAGGGCCACAGACTCACTGTATCCGTAGTACTAGATGGCCTGTACCCGTTAATGAACACTTAACCCTAACCCTAGCACTGTCCCATGCTCTGGACTCTCACCTTCATTTTAGTGTCAGCTCAACTAATGATAAACCTGTGGCATAATCTCGCACTCATCCTCACCTTACAGCCAGACCCTAATTCTATCGAAATCTGTATCATCCCCTTAAACCTAACCAAACACTGAACCCTAACCCTAGGCCTGACACTTAGAACAGCCCCTACCATGGATATCGACATCATCCATGTCTCACTGTAACACTGTAGTCCAATCTCGCTGTCTCCCTAACATCAGACCCATATCTGAAATGTAACTGCAACTGTATACTGGCCATACAACTTAACAAACACCTAAACCTAAGCCTAGTTCTCAGCTGTGGGCCTGAACCCTCATGGTCAACATTGATATCACCCACAGTTCACAGTTCACCTATCGCTCAATGTCACACCCATCCTCACATCAGAGCCAGATCCTTAGTGAAAACATAGTGCTATCATGCCCGTACCTATTATCGAACACATGAACCAATACCTAGCCCTTGCCCCTGCACCAGATCCTTCACATAATAATATTTACAACCCCACCAAATCCTTTTACTGAGATAAAATCTCGCATTCACCCTCTCATCAGAGCCGGATCCTAACTATAACCAAACTCTATTAGCCCCATACACTTTCCCAAAAACTGATCCCTAACCCCAGCCCAGACCTTTGGAACACAACAGTACCATGAATATCGACATCCCTCATGTCTCACTGTAACACTGTAATTCAACCTCAATGTCGAACTCACATAGGAGCTGAATACCATATGGAACCATAAACCTATCCTTCCCATACAACTTTCCGAATCCCTAACCCTATCCCTAGCACTGTACACTGCATCTGACACTTCATTTTCAACATTGATATCATCCACAGCTCACCATATACCTGTCGAACTTACTCACCCTCATCCTCACTTCAGAGCCATATACTTACTGCAAATGCAGCGCTCTCCTGCCCGTACACGTTACTGAACACTTAAACCTAACCATAGCCATGGCACTATCACAAGACCTGTCACATCATTTGATTTTCAGACAAAACAAATGCTTAACCTGACCCACAATCTCACACTCACCCTCACATCAATGCAGGATGTATACTCTAACCAAAACACTATCATCACCATAAAACTTCCCAAACACCGAACTCTAACCATAGCCCTGTCTCTTGGAACTGATCGTACCATGGATATCGATGTAACCCATGACCACCTGTAACACTGTAATTCTATCTCACTGTCACCTCACATCAGAACCGAATACTAAATGTAACCATAACCCTTTCCTAGCAGTACACCATTTCGAACCTCTGAACCTAAACCTATACCCGACTTCTGGACATGAAACCTCAAGATAAAATTTGAAATCAGCCACAGCTTATCATAAAACTGTCTCACAATATCACCCTCTCCTCACATCAGGGCCACATCCTCACTGTAACCATATTACTAGACGGCCATACCCATTACCAACCACTTAACCCTAACCCTAGCACTGTCCCATGCTCT